GTTTTGTGTCATCAGCATATATAGAACAATGTACATCGTGGGGAAGGCATGACGGCAGATCGTTGATGTAAAGCAAAAACATCAAAAGCCCTAAGCAGTACCTTGCGGCACACCACTTGCCGTTAGATAGATTGATGAAAGCGATTCACTGACCCGCACTCTTTGCGTGCGCTCAAGCAAGAATGCTTTGAGGAATCGCAACAAACAACCTTTGATGCCGTAAGCATCTAATATTTTAAAGAGAAGAGCTAAGGGCACGGAGTCAAAGGCTTTCTTATAATCTATATAACAGACTGTTACAACTCTCTTTTCATAAACTGCTCTCTGCCACAAGGGTACCGTTGATATTAGAGCTGATAATGTGGATTTTTTGGGTAGAAATCCATGTTGTGCTTTGTGCCCAAGATCGTTAAGTAAGAAATGCCCAAATCTGTTTACAAATTATTCTTTCAGAGACTTTGCTCACTGATGATGTTAAACAGATCGGCCTATAATTTCCAGCCTCAGCCCTGCAACCCGTTTTGAAAATTGGTTTAACAATTGCATTGCGCCATAAGGCAGGGGCTTCCCCATGAAGAAGAAATCTTTGAAACAGCGAAGCTAGAACTGGGACTATACCTAACGATGCCTTCCTAAGAAAAACATATGGAAGTTCATCAGGGGATGTGGATCTTCTAAGGGGGAGTCGCCCCAAAACTTGATATACTGTATCAGTGGTAATATCCAAATAATCAATCTTTGCATTCGTAAAACGTGGACAATCAACATTCGAGGTTGTTGCGTCCTCATAGACGGATTTAAAAAATTCGGCAAATCTCTGCTTTCTCCATATCAGATGCGCAGGGCTGGCCGGCTGAGTCGGCAATGCTATTTGACTCCCTCACCCCATCCTTTATTGCAGAAGCGAAAGAACGCTCGTACATTTCGGCTGTCGGCAGTTTTGCCTTCTTCTTTGAGTCTGCAGCGGTATAATTCACGTTTGAGTTTTTTGAGAACCTTTGATATTTTTGGATGCCAATTCTGCTTCTTGCACGGTAAAGCCTAGAGACCTTGGCCTCAAACTTGAGTACCCTTTTGGGATAGAAAAGCATGCGGCCACTGCAGATTTTACGCAGAGGGACAAAGTTGCTAATGGCATTACGACACACTTCAAGAAAGTATTCATAACAACGATCTGCCGACAATGCACTGAATACGATACTTCGCCAATCCACTTCTAATAAGCTCATGTTTATAGCGTCATAATCAGCATGCATGGAATCAGGCTGATATATGTCAGGCGAGACTATTGTACGGGTGCTTGCAACTTAAATGTAATAGAGCAGTGGTCCGATGTAGAGAACGGTTCGCATACATTAAGGTATTTAATCAAGTTACTATTATTGGAAAACACAAGAACAAGCAGTTGAGAGCCTCTAGTGGGAACCTTCACTAGTTGATGTAGACCATATATTTCCACAACTCGAAGTAGCTCTGCGGAAGTGGAGGGGACCCAGTGATGCGCCATTCTGCCATCCTCATGCCATGAACCAACCGGCAAATTGGAATCTCCCAGAATGATGCAGTTTTGATTCTGCCAAGAATTTCGGTGAAATAAGTTACTGCATTTGCAAAGGAAGCACTGTCACAAGACGGACTTTGATAAACCAATACAAAATAAGTGCATCTGGTTGCATCACTAACACAAAAACATAGAACTTGGCAATATGGAGAGAAGTTCTGACTGGAGACTAAGTGATGCTCTAGCCCTCTGTGTATGAGGGCAAGAACACCGCCTCCTATACTGCTGCCCTCTCTGTCACATCTGTGTATATCATAATCAAGACCTCGGCATATGTTAGCATCATGTATAGAATATGGCTTGCACCATGATTCCGTTATGAAGAGTACAGATGGGTCAGAAGAAAGTGCTCTATGTGATTCAGGCAGTTTATTGCAGATTGAGCGTGCGTTAAATAAAATCATGCAACGAGCAAAATTTGGATATTGGGCATAAATTATATCATTTCGATCAGTCGCGTCATACCGAAGGGTGGTTTCTGTTTGTTGAGTTATGTCCTAATGTGCACTAAGCACACCCGGTGCATACTGAGAGGAAATTACCGGGAACATGGCAAGTGGGGGCGAGGCACCACAGGGTTGTTCCAACCCTACCGCAGAACTTCCGTTATTAAACCCGTTGCGACGCATGGCGGAGGGCGCCAAGGAGCGCCTGGGCAAATCGCGTGGTATCCGGAGTTTGACGATATCAAAATCGCGGACAACATAAATCAACTTGCCCTCTCTAGCACTGAGATCCCCTGCACGCTTGCGCAGCTCACGATCCAACTGCAATTCCTCATTCGTGTAGTCGCGCCTGGCATATGAGTGCATGAACCTTTGCGTGAGACTTTGCCGCCCCGTTTTCATGTGTTCTAAAAGCTTATCCTTCAACTCTTTCGAGCGGAGGCCCACCTTTAGAATACGACCTCGGGCTTGAGAGCCTCTCGGCTGCCCAGGAGGATGACGATGGACAGATACATTGCCCTTGTCAAACTCCTCAATCAATTCCCTTTCGCCCGATGTATACACGTACTCCCTTACGATCTCCTGATCAAAACGACGAGTGGCTGACTCGTCGTCTTGCACATCAATCTCGCTATCCCTGTACAGCCTTGCCCTGTGCCCACTTCTATACCTCATTTCCCGTTCTCTGTGTTGTTTTCGAAATCAGCATGCCCACTTACTCCCTTGTGCCAACTCCCAGCTCTGTAGCTCAAACTTTGCAAAAAATCGATAAAATCACTAAAAGTAATCTATAATTCTGAAAACTAATGTTGTATTCGGAATCGCCATGCCCACTTACCCCCTGTGCCAGCTCCCAGCCCCGTAGGTGAACTCTGCAAAAAATCGATAAAATCGATATTGATCGATAACGAAAGGTGGCCTATGACACGCTCTCCGCCTTGGAGTGTACGTGTGCCAAGTTTGCTCCAGATCGGTTCAGAAATAAAATTTTTTATTCCGCACATACGTACAGACATACAGACAGACATTCGACTTTATATATATATATAATATGTATATATATGTGTATAGTATATATGTAAGATGTTGGGTAAGCAATCTAAATTTTTAATCCCTTCGCTCACTTCATATTAGGTCAAAAGCTCTCCTCTGTTCTGCCGCATTACTCAGACGGGTAAAATCTACAGTCTAAAGCCTGTTTTACTTTGCGCTTGTTTGATTTGGCTAATATATGATGATACATTAGGTTGGCGCAGTTTTGCAACTTTTCCCAGAACTTTTTCCTCACAAAATGTAGCACCCTCCGTTGGCATCCTTTGGCATCGTGTAGAGCGTGACGTAAACTGCAAATTTGCGCAAACTGTTTGATTTATGATAACCTAGTAGAAAATTTTGAGCATTCGAAAACACTTGAAAATCGAAATTTCACGGTTTTTTTGGCAAACATGAAGCCGTACAAAACCTGAATCAAACATATCAGAAAGGAAATCTAGGAGCATGTAGCCTAGAAGTTCACCCATTAGAATCAGTAAAAAAGAAGTGAAATTCAAAGACACACCAAAATGAGGCGCCTTTGAGAAGTAGAACATATCAAATGCGTCAAGTTTTGAGGGCAATCTGCTAATAATTAAGCTGCGAAACCTCAGAATTTGCTTTTTTTGCACAATAGGGTAATCCAAACGACGAACACGAATACGATGTCTATTTGTCGCTAACAAGGGAAGGATAGTTGGATGCCGCGGTCATTCCTAATGATTTGTATACCAAAAAATGCGCCTTCGAATGCAGATTCTGAATCTGTGCTCGTAATCTGCGAAACGATCTTTTGAAGAAAGTTATGAACTTTTTTTCTTGAGAATTCAGCCTACTTTTGGATAGTAAAAATCACCAGATTTGATCTAGCCTACCGTTTGATGCTACTGAAGAAAATTTTAGACGTAGTAATATTAATTTAGACTATCTGGATCATACTCAGCATTTGGAAAGGAGAGAACATTTTCTTATTGATGATTTTGACCCTCCGCAGGAACGCAATTTTTTTAATGAAAAAAAATCGTAACTCCATTCAGATTATCGTTTTGCAGATATGAAAGACAGTCTACGAACCAGTATTCAAAAGCGCATTTTTTGGTATACAAATCATTATGAATGGCTACGGCATCCAAGTATCCTTCCCCTGTAAGATAACATTCATTTTTTGACCTCACGAAAGAGGCTTCATGCGAAACGGGTCTCATTTGTGTGATCAGCATGTCGAACAGCCATAGGCCAAGTTTCATCAAAATTTGACGCAGTCTAATTTTCCCATTGTACCGTAAACCTACCGTAACTCTTATATAAGACTAGCTGGCTTACCCGGCTCCGCCGTATGTTCCGAATAGAAAATTCCATTTCTTAACCGATCCGGACCAAACTTGGCACACATACACTTCGGGCCCCGGCGGGTGCCACAGTCCACTTTTCGTTATCGATCGATGTCGATTATTTTTTGCAAAATTTGAGCTAGGGGGCTGGAATTTGGCAGGGGGGGGGGGTAATCGGGCATGCTGATCACCCCCACGGGGTGATCAGCATGCTCGATTACCCCCCTGTGCCAACTCCCAGCCCTGTAGCTCAAATTTTGCAAAAAATCGATAAAATCAATATTGATCGATGACGAAAAGTAGCCTATGACAACCGCCGGGGCCCGAAGTGTATGTGCGCCAAGTTTGGTCCCGATCGGTTCAGAAATGGAATTTTCTATTCGGAACATACGTATAGACAGACATACAGACAGACAGACAGACATACCAGACAGACAAACAGACATTCAGCTTTATATATAAGATGATTCGGCAAAAATGTCCGCATTTGCAGTTTACATCATAATTCTCATATTGCCAGAAAATGAATGCGCTATGTTCAGAAAGACAAAAAGTATATAAAAAGTTGCATTACTTATGTGCCACCCTGATATATTCGTGGATGCTGTGATGTGAACCATACATTTATAGACAAGACTTTTCGGAGAAAGCACGGCAATTCAAGGAGCGTCTGAATGAATTTCGAAGCGAAATTGATGCTTTGAAAAGAGAAGACAGGCAGACGGAACACGATGTGATTCACCAACATAACGTCCAAAATGGATTTGACAAGTTCACCACTCTTAGAATGGCAAGTTGATATACTTCCTCTTTTAAACCTTTTAATTCAATATCATTCTTATGCTGAAACCTTTCCGTTAGATCTTGTGCGGCAATCTGAGCATTCAGATTGCAGTATTTTTGAAATCAGAACATGGAAGTCTGTTATAGCATAAGTCAAAGAGCGCCAGTTCGCTCGAATCTTATTATGAACCTGGATTGTGGTTCTGAGTGGTGAGTTGTATTGGTGCTGTGAGCGTGTTGTTAATTGCCAGCAGGATTCGGCTACACTCCGACTAGCTGCTGTTACGTATGACCGTGGAAATAGCGTTTTCTTTAGCATCGATCTTTTTTCTGTTTGTTCGCATAACCTTAATCAGCAATGGATGAAAATCGCTTTGTTCTCTAACCTGCTACCAAAGGTTTTCAAAGAGGAAGGAAATGGAACGGAACTCGAGCATCTGCTCCGTAGACTCTGCTCTTATCCACCAGTCCTCCACATTCGTATCTGATCTAAAATTAGGTTGTAGATCAAGATCTGCAACTTTTTTCACATATCTTTTTCTTCAAATTCTCGTCGCACCTATTTCGTGGTTGTATAGAGTGAGACATATGCTAAAAGTGCAAATGTTTTTTCGAATTTGTGCCGTCGCTTCAAAGATTACAAGTATACGCAGGGCAGTTTGCAAGAGAGCAAAAATACAAATCCAATTGCTTATGTTTTTATTCAATTGTCGCGCACAAGGCGCATATTTCTGAATTAGGACATAATCAGTACAAAGAAAACAAAAAAAACGTCCAATAGGTGAAGTCAAGTTCAGCATCCAGATAGTTTTGGACAAGAGAAAGGGATTAAGCTTGTCTAGGCTATGTATGATATATATCATTGATGTAAAAGCTTGGAGTTTGTCCCATGCTCCGTGCAGCAGTAGCGCTCTTTGAGTTCAATCTAAGCAGTTATAAATGGGGAAGCGGGCATATTGGCAAAATCTGCCCAACCATTTTCTTGGGAAAGAGCAGAACTTCGATGATGAAGAAGAGACTGGCAATGCAGAAAATGTTGATCAAGCATAACAAGCTAATCCCGAACATAAATGCGATAGGTGGAGAAATTCTCTGACCCCTTCACTTTAAGGCCGGCATCTGGCTGACCCCTTCCACCTGAGGTTGAGACTAGAATAAAGGCATAAATTAAACAATTTCCGCTTCACAGAAAAGATAGGAAAAATTAGACGGTCTATGTCGATTCCTCTTGCTCTCAGCTATCTAATGGTATACAAAGCGTTGGTGCACAAAGCTTTCCCAGTCCAAAAAAGTTTTGCTCCGACGACCCATGAAAAGCAAGAGCGGGATGGAGCAAGTTAATACTAAATATCTCCACCTCATTTTTAAGAAGACACGAGCTTTTTCACCCAATAACCTATATACCTTTACAAAGCTCACGAGACACGGATTCGACGTAGACCGTCTCTTTTACTCTAGCTCTCTCTCTCTCTACTCAGAGATACATGGCATTTTAGCTGAAAACATGCGTGTTTTTGTGAAGAAATTCTTATGCAAAGAGTGATTGAAAATGCCTATTTGCCTAACCCTATTACAGAGCAAGACTACGCCAGTAAACGTTGACTGTCTCTTTTTTCTCTAGCTTTCCTCTTTCTTTCAGAAATGGAGCGACAAGTGATTGCATAAAGTCAACTGAAGCTGAAACTAGATATGATTTTTCATGTCTAATTTCAGGAGAGCTGAAAAAAAGACGGTCTACGTCGATTTGTATGTTCCAAGCTTTCAAATGGTATGTCGAAATGAAACGTAAAGCTTTCCTGAGTCAAAAACCGTCTCTGTTGGATGACCTTCCAAAGCCTAAGCATTGAGAAAATCTTTATATTACACCTCTGTACCACATATTTTCCTTCTTTTCACTCCCGCTCCCGTTAGACATGTAAGCTTGCGTCAACATTTATTTTTGGCCCAGTTACCCCTTCACTTTTCTAGGTCAGAAATAACCCAAACCCCCTTCACCTCGAGAGGGACCCTGCTCCCTCTATCGCACCTATGATCGCGAATAATAAAAGGGATCGGTAAACCGGATCTAAACCTACGTGTGGACTAAGAGCCGCATGTCAACATTCCCGCTGGGGAGGTGATCGCAGCTTAGGCTGATTTCATACTGATTCCCATCCGGAACTGTTCCCGCACAGTCTCCGTTTTGGAACTGTGCTGCATTCGTTCAGCCGCCCCGCACGCGTTTTGAACGGCGGGAGTTGGAGAATTTTGACCGTTTCCAACGGTTTTTCTTCTTTTTCTCATTTTGGAAACTGTGCGGGAACAGCCCCGGAACATGGATCAGTATGAATCCAGCCTTAGAAGAAAAATTCGCATTTTGAAGCTCCAGTATCTGGATTTTATTCAAAGGCAGTGGGTTGGCAAACTCAACAGCTCAAAATTTTAACGGGGTAGACTCCTTATTGCTCAAGTATGAAAACAGTGCAATCCCGGTTGCACAGCATGCCTTCCTTGCCGAGAAAATTGCTTTCAAACTTACACGCGCAGGGAATTCTTACACGCATCCGGACGAGTTGGCAATTTTCTTCTCACCACTGGAGGCTGCCCGCCGCAGTGCTATAACCATTGGGTCCTGCAACGATTCGGCGTCATCAGCCTTGCTGCACTCGTCCAGTTTTAAAGGGAAGGGCATTAAAAACGCTCGTTTTCGGCGTTTTCAAGCTCCCAAAAGTGGATTTTCGGAATCAGCGTATTGAATAACCCCAGGTAAGCGAAAATTTGACTAGTTGAGATTTGCCGAGCCACTGCCTTTAAGGCAGTGCCCAGGATGGGTCCCAGCGGAACATGGTGTGATGTCGTTCTCGGCTTACGGTCACGGCGCAGGCGGGGGGTTTTGAGGACGGATTTCTCAGCCTTAAATAAACCTTTTGCGTTGCTGCTTGGGCAGTGCCTTAGTTAGGATCCCCTCATCAATTTCCAGGCGAAAGATCCGTGCTTCCAGATTTGCCTGGACACTGCCCTTAAGTAGATCAAATGCTCTCTTATCTCCTTACCTGGTCATATTGTGGAGTGTCAGTATACGCCTTGTTATGCTAAACCAGGTTTGTGGATCTTTGTTAACCTGACGGTTTCAATAGTCTCGTCTTCTTCACAGGTCTTGGATCTACCGCATTTCAGTAAGCCCGCACAGATAGTCGGTAACGTGACGTCCGCTACTAAACTAAAAGAACCACGATTAGCCTCTCTCTCATCGGGCCCTATAGCTTGCCCCCACTAACAACTAGCCTCAGCTGTACAGCAAACAAACACATTAATGAGATATATATTTATGGGCAAGCATGGAACGACAATACATAACATCAACAAGAACACAATCGAGATCAATTGCAAGTGAGGATCCTGAGCGAAGCAAGAGAGATGGGTCTGGCGACCCGAGGACACGTCGCCAGAACTCCATTCACTATACTGCCGTATCGTTCCGCTTCTGGTCTTAATGCTCTGCTTGTCAAGTTGTCGCACCACCGACCTTTAGAAGGGGAGGAGAGAGTCTGGGAGAATAAATACAGCTTACGCTTACGTAAAGCGCCAGGAATTTGGAAAGTTCTGAGAGATCTTATTGCTCACCCTGCGCCCTTACAATGACTATCTGTGCAGGCTTACTGAAATGCGGTGGAAGACCTTTAAGAAGACAAGACTGTCGAAATCGTCAGGTCCGATAAAGATCCGCCAAAAACCTGGTTTGGCATAAACGGCATATATTGACACTTCTGGATTTCATGTTGTCTACCTATCCGTAAGCATTCCTATTACGCTTCACTATAAACAAACTGAAGAACAAGAAGTTCTGTAAGTCGCGTTTTCCAGCTTTTAATATGATCTCCTCATGATTCCCAGCGGCCAACCGCCTTCCAAAGCCATTCTTCTTTCTTCAAAGTTTATGAAAAGATTCCAAAGTTGATCATCTAACCTGGCAGTGCTAAGCATGTTGCTGATAAGAATAAATGAGTTAGCGAAATTTCGAAATTTTCGACAAACCCCAACTTTCGAATCGTGGTTCGTCGCGATTTTCATGCTTCTTTATATCATTTGTTTTCATCAGAAACATACTGAGCACTGTTTGGTTAGATAGTCAGTGAAATTTTGGCACGTTTTCATTCACTTTAAAGTAAGAAAAATGACTTTGAAGAAAAGACGGGCTGTGTCCGGGATCAGGGGATCATATAAAAAGCTCGAAAATGCGGCTTGTACAAATTCTCTCCTGTACGGTATGTTCATGATAAAGCGTAGTAGGAACACTTACGGAATGGTGGACGACATGAAATGCAGATATCTGAAGCTTCACGATATGAAGCTCTCTTTAAGGCTGCGATCCCCTCCCTGCGGGGATGTTAATGCATGCGGCCCTAACTGTAAGTAACAGTATAAGTATAGTATGAGTATAAGTAACAAAACGCCACCAACAGGCTGCTCAGTCAGCTCTAGTTCTCCCGGTTCTACAATAAGAAAGAAAGAAAGAAAGAATAGAGAGAGCGTTACGTTTGTCTCACCCATTCACTGATTACCCCTAGCAGACGGGGCAATCAAAAAATCGATAAACTTATCAAGAGCGTTCAAGTGACACAGGGTTACTGTACATCCCTGCCTTACTGCTGGCCTGCATTTGGCCCGCGTGCGACCGGCAGGCACATGGAGCTCTCGTCCCAATGGATTCTGAAGGGCAAATTAAAACTTGATATTTTGAGAATTTCATTTCATTTTAAGCTGGATTCGGATTCAGCGTGAAGAGTTGCGAAAAAGAACAACTTTGGTACGGAACTTTGGATAGACGGTGTTTTCAAAAATCGATCTTGAAATTGCTTTAGCTGAACACCGGATTAGTATCTTTTTTATTTGACTGACTTTCCGGCCATGTCGCCTTCTTCAGAATCTGAAATGCACTACGATTTTCATATTATTCAGGATTAACTGGGAGCACCACTGTCGCGTATCATACAGGGGATTCCAATTTGGGGATCGGCGCGGCTGGAG